TTTTTCTAAATGATATTTATTCCAAATTTAAAGTTACAAAAAAGAAAAAGAAAAACCATACAAAATACAAAAAAAAACTTTAGCCATAACAAAGTGAAAAATGAACAAGTAAAAAAGAACAATAAGATAGAATAAAAAAGAAGACTTAACAAAAAATATAAAAATACATTAAGTTAAAATAAAACAAAAACAGATTAAACCTTTACATAGCCTTTTCCCTTTACTTATTTCCATGACCTCCTCTCACCTCCCAATTTTGTATTCTAGTTCAGATCGTGTTTCCAGCAAATCCTTCTAACCTTATTTTCATTTACGTATTTTAAAATTAAAATAATGTAATTAAACCTCCTCTATTTCATCAATTTCATCAACTCATTTTTGCTTAGTCCATTACATCATATCTGCCAGAACGACCTAATATTCTTTTTCCAACCTCTTTCTAACATTCTTTTATATTGCAGTATTTTTGAAGGTATATTTTGAATTTTTTCCAATCTTCTTCCATCGACCCTTCTCCCTGGTCTCGAATTCTGCCGGTCATCTCAGCCAGTTCCATGTAGTCCATCACTTTCATCTGCCATTCTTCTCGGGTGGGCAATTCTTGTGTCTGAACCCTCAGCATCTCCAGGTCTGCCTGGGAGAGAGTCTGGTCTGAAACGTCAGAGAGCTGCTACCAGTCCATATAGATGAGACTGAGCTGGATAGAGCAACGGCCTGAATAACACAGTTATTCAGAACTGTGTTTTATACAGAACACAGTTTCCTATGTTCCAGTGTCTAAAGAGAAGGGTTGAAAGGACCTGTTGATGGCATTTTACCATTGCACTTTGGAGAGTGCATTATGGTCTGTGTGTGTGGTTTGGGAAAAACAGGCGAAAAACAATGCTGTCCAGGGTTGTAAAGACTGTGGAGAGAATAACTGGCTGCACTCTTCCCACCTTGGATCAAATCTATGCTTCCAGGTGCCGTAAGAAAGCTGCAGAGATAGCGCAGGATAGTGCGCACCCCGGAAATGATCTCTTTCAGCTTCCACCTTCTGGAAGAAGGTACAGGGTTATAAAGACTAGGACTAGCTGCCTGAACACTTACTTCCAGGTTTTCGGCGTTTGAGAACCAAGGTACCACTGTATATGACTTCATGTTAAAAGACAACTAACTTCCTGTGTTCCTATCCCTACTGAGCGATGTATACCATTTCCTGAAACCGGACCCTGAACAGCAGCCTATACACATGTCAAACAAATCTACCTTCCTAATTTGCCATAGCACACGACTTGGAATCACAGAACTGTGGAGTGGAAGGGACCCCAGGGGTCAATCCAGCCTGACCCCGGAAGTGCCTAAAGCTTTGCCACGAAAGGCAGTGTGGTTCTTCCTTTCACACAAAACGCAAGCTTGAAGCACCACATACGATCTACGCAAGAGGACGGAACTGCTTGGACTGGGAGATGGGAGGGAAGGGAAGGGGAGAAGAGCATAATGTCCCCAGGCATGTTACCTTCTGGAAGACGTAGCCTCCGTCGGGACCCCAGCCCACAATCGGGTCGCTGGAGGGCTTGCCATTGATATTCGGCTGGGAATTGATGGTCAGGATCCCTCTCCTGTTCACCTTGGCCAGCTCTTCTTTCATAAGGTTGGTCTCGGGCGCCAGAGGGTCATCGTTCCAAGGCAGGCAGGTCACCTATGGGAGGGGGGGAGAAAAACTATCAATATTTTGGAAAGGGGAGAGGGCAGCTTTCCCCCATGCTTCCAAATCCCCTTAAATTTTAATATTCCTTCCCCGTTATACCTCAAGCAGACACACACACGTGTTAACCACAACAATAATTTATTTGTACAGTGGTACCTCAGGTTAAGTACTTAATTCGTTCCGGAGGTCCGTACTTAACCTGAAACTGTTCTTAACCTGAAGCACCACTTTAGCTAATGGGGCCTCCTGCTGCTGCCTCGCCGCCGGAGCCCAATTTCTGTTCACATCCTGAAGCAAAGTTCTTAACCTGAAGCACTATTTCTGGGTTAGCGGAGCCTGTAACGTGAAGCATATGTAAACCGAGGTACCACTGTACTCTGCCCATCTGACTGTGTTGCCCCTCTGCCACTCTGAGCAGCTTCCAACATATATAAAAACATTATTATTATTTATTGAATTTATATACCGCCCTATACCCAGGGGTCTCAGGGCGATTCACAGAATAAAATCAAGATATAAAACCACAAAATTAAAAATAAGAACAACCACCCAATAGTCCTCCCCTCCCCCCCCCCAAAAAAAACCCCACACCTTTTAAAAGGGCATAGGATGTAAATCAGATCAACCAAAGGCCTGCATAAAAAGGAACTTTTTTGCCTGGCACCTAAAGGTGTGTAATGAAGGCGCCAGGAGAACTTCCCTGGGGAGAGCATTCCACAGACGGGGAGCCACTGCAGAGAAGGCCCCGTTCTTGTGTTGCCACCCTCCGGACCTCTCAAGGAGGAGGCACACGAAGGAGGGCAAAATAAAACATTAAAAAGCTTCTCTATACAGGGCTGCCTTCAGATGTCTTCTAAAGGTTGTATCATCTCCTTGACATCTGATTTTCCAAGTCCCTTCAAGCACCTTTTACTGTGGGGCTGTAGCTCAGCAGTAGAGAAGGGCCTGCTCAGCATGCAGAAGGGCCCTGGGTTCAATCCCTGGCTGGGTAGGGCTGGGAATAGGAGAGCCATTGCTGCCAGTCAGTGTAGGCAATACTAAGGTAGATGGAACCAAAGTTCAGACTTTGTATAAAGCAGCTGGTTCTGTTCCTACAATTCACAGCTGAGGAGCAGAAAGCTATGCCTGAAATAAGACCATCCAAGTGTCCCTATTTTCCAGGGGCAGTTTTGGATCCACAGAAGCCGCCCTGGTTTCTGATTTGATTCCAGAATATCCCCCTTTTAGAGTGTCCCTATTTTCATCAGAAGAAGGCCAATCGCCGAAGAATTGATGCTTTTGAATTATGGTGCTGGAGGAGACTCTTGAGAGTCCCATGGACTGCAAGAAGATCAAACCTATCCATTCTGAAGGAAATCAGCCCTGAGTGCTCACTGGAAGTACAGATCCTGAAGCTGAGGCTCCAATACTTTGGCCACCTGGTGAGAAGAGAAGACTCCCTGGAAAAGACCCTGATGTTGGGAAAGATGGAGGCACAAGGAGAAGGGGACGACAGAGGACGAGATGGTTGGACAGTGTTCTCGAAGCTACCAGCATGAGTTTGACCAAACTGCGGGAGGCAGTGGAAGACAGGAGTGCCTGGCCTGCTCTGGTCCATGGGGTCACGAAGAGTCGGACACGACTAAACGACAAAATTTTCATCAGAGAAATGTTGGAGGGTATGGAGTTATGCAACCCTCTCCCCCAAGCCAAGGAGATAAGCAGCTACGCGACCTTTGGAAAACATACAAAGGCAGCCCTGTAGTGGGAAGTTTTTAAAATATTTTATCAGTGTAAGTTTAAAACTGATGGAATATGCGCAGCTTGCGGACCTAACATATAGAAAAAGAGAACAAGAAAAACACACGTTTAAAGAAGATTGGAAAATGTTTATTGAATATATAGTGTGGGGGGGTGGAATTGTGTACACTTGAAAACGTTGACAGCATTAAGATAAATTCAACAGTGTAAATAAGTTTTGACGGATGTAATAATGGAATACTGAATGGTTTAGTTTATGTAAAATATGCAGGGATTTATGTTATACAAAATGAACCACGGAAAGAGAAGAAGAAAAGCCATTGATATTTTAAGGTGGTTTGAATATTCTAAATTGTAAAGCAGAATATATATATATATATATATATATATATATATATATATATACACACACACACACACACACACACACGTATATATATGTATTTATGTTCATATTTATACACACACACAAACACACACACATATAGTGGTACCTTGGGTTACAGACACTTCAGGTTACAGACTCCGCTAACCCAGAAATAGTACCTCGGGTTAAAACTTTGCTTCAAGATGAGAACAGAAATTGCACAACAGCGGTGCGGTAGCAGCGGGAGGCCCCATTACCTAAGGTGGTACCTCAGGTTAAGAATAGTTTCAGGTTAAGAATGGACCTCCAGAACAAATTAAGTTCTTAACCCGAGGTACCACTGTGTGTGTGTGTGTGTGTGTGTGTGTGTGCGCGTGTGTATACAGTGGTACCTCGGGTTAAGTACTTAATTCGTTCCGGAGGTCCGTTCTTAACCTGAAACTGTTCTTAACCTGAAGCACCACTTTAGCTAATGGGGCCTCCCGCTGCTGCCGCTCCTGA